GAGTTTTTGGGGGGGCGTGTGTACACCTGTCTGCCCTGGGTTGTGTGTGTGTTTGGTATGACTCGCTCTCATTCCGTGCTGGGGGGTGTCAGGAAGCAGCAAGAGGTAGATGTTAGGGGCCACCTCCAGCCTGCAGCAGAGATTCCAGTCCTGCAGTGTGGCCTTGCTCATCTCCAGACTCAGTTACCCCATCTGTCCCATGGAGCTTATCCCAGACCAAGCAGGCTCTGCGGCATGGATGGGGCCAAGCAGCCTGAGTGCTGATGTGGGTCCCCCCACCCCCAGAGCCTCTCCAGGGAGTCCCGTGCTACTCAGGGCACAGAGTAGCCACACAGCCAGGGATCATCCTGTGTGACTCTCAGAACAGCCCTGGAGGTGAGGGGCGTCATCCTAGCCTCGCCCCTGGGGAGATTTCTGAGCCTCTCAAGGGTAGCACTTAAGCATCTTCAGCCATGAATGACAATAATAACAGTAACAGACCGCGGTAGTGACCATTTGCTGACGCCTGCCCTGCACCAGGGCCACTCGAATTTATTAGTGTTTTCATTTCATCATCACCAAAATCCTATGGGCTTTGCATCCTGCTCCCACTTTACAGATGAGGGAAGTGAGGCTCAGGAAGGTTGAAGAACTTGCCCAGGGCTCCCCAGCCAGGATGGTTCCAGCCAGGATCAGAACCCAGGAGTATCTGACTACAGCTACGCCCACTACATTCTTACCATCAAGGCACATGGGCTTGCCCTCGGGTGGGGGCTCCCTCCTCCCAGGGCAGCCGGGGCAGCTGGGAGCAGCGTGACTGGAGAGGCGGTCCTTGGTGTGCGAAGCGACTCTGAGTGGGTTTCCCTGTTGATCCTGCCTGGGACTGTGGGAAGGTCTCTACCTGGGCGGAAGTCCATCTCCCTCGAACCCCGTCACCTGAGCACCTTGTCCCCCATCTGGAGCCTGAATGGGCAGATGGGTGCTGGAGAGAATTTTTCTACGCTGACTGCCGCTGCCCTCTCCTCCACCCACCACACACGCAGTGATACAGCTGCACCGGGGGTCCCTCCTCCACAGTTGAGTGAAGGAACTTGGGGGCCAGTGACCGACCCCCTGCTCCCCGGGAGAAACTGAGCCGCCTGTGGGACTGACTTCACCGTGGACTCTGATTCAGGTAGCTCCTGGGCCATCCGGCAGTAGTAGATAAAGAAGACATACCCTCTGTCTGTTTTGAAATACTCAAACAATAAATGAAGGCAGAATCCTCATTTTAAAATACTGAAATTGAAAATTCCCTTGCCTCCCTACCAGATCCCTTCCTGCCCTCGCAGCCTCCAGGAAGCCAGGAGCTCCTGTGGCCAGTGTCGTCTGGATCCTTCCAGACCTTTTCCTGTGCATTTACACACCTACATATACACCAATATGGAGATACCTCATTTTATAAGCTGGTGGGGTTTTGTTTTTTGAGGAAGATTGGCCCTGAGCTAACATCCGTGCCCAACTTCCTCTATGTTTTATATGTGAGATGCCGCCACAGCACGGCTTGACAAGCGGTTCATAGGTTTGCACCCGGGATCCAGGCCGGCGAAGCTGGGGCCACCAAGGCAGAACATGCGAACTTAACTGAACTTAACCGCTGCGCCACCAGACTGGCCCCGATGGTGGGGGTTTTACATAAATGAGATCATCTTGGGTGTGTTGTTCAGCAGCCTGATTTGTTCCCTTGATAATATATCCATTCCAGAGCGTTCATTCATATGTACATTCAGGGCTTACCTCATTCATTCATCATCCCTCATTACCCTTCCCTTCCTCCTTGCCTCCCTCCCCCTCATAGCTAATAGCTGCCTACACTACAACACTCAACAGACTGAGTGCAAAGTCTCTCTTCCTCCCTCTCACAACCACCAAGCCCCTCTCTCCACTGTACCTTTTTTTTCTGTTTTCACGTAACGGTTCACTCTGGAGATCTTTCCAACTAGCACATAAAGAGTTTCCTCAATCTTTTGAATGGCTGCAATTGTTTCACGTGTGGATGAAGAATAATTTATTCAACCAGTTCCCTAAGGACGGATGTTAAGTTCTTTCTGTCACATGGGCTGCAGGAATAATTTTGTACTTGCATCATTACATCAGCATGTAGAGAGCATCCTGGCCCTTTTTCAGAGCTGTATAGTATTCCACTGTGTGGCCATACCATGATGTTTAACCAGCTTTCTACTTCTGGACATTTGTGGGTATTTCCTGCCTTTTGCTATTAGATACAGGGTTCTTATGATGAACAACCTTTCACGTATTTAATTTTTTGGCAAGCATTTTAGTTGGAGGATAAATTTCCAGAAGTGGGACATGCAGTCAAGGCTATGTGCGTTTGTTAGTTTAACACACACTGCAAATCACCCTCTGTAACGGCTGGCCAATGTACCCTCCCGCCAGCAGGGGAAGAGAGGACCACCAAACAGCCTCACTTAGTGCCTTTCTCTCCTTCTTTCTAGATGCAAGCTACCCCTCTGGCTGCTCCTGCGGGTGCCCCCTCCAGGAAGAAGCGGTTGGAGTTGGACGATGACCTAGACACCGAGGGTCCCACCCGGAAACAAGCTCAAAGTGGGCCCCAGCCCAGGCTGCCCCCCTGTCCACTGGCCCTGAGCCCACCCCCTGCTCCAGTCCGTGCCCCTGTGGGGACCACTGCCTCCCGGCTTGGGCCCTATGTCCTCTTGGAGCCTGAGGAGGATGGCCGGGCCTACCGGGCCCTGCACTGCCCCACAGGAACCGAGTACACCTGCAAGGTACCTGCCCTCGGGGCCACTCTCCCCTAGTGTCACAGGGGGCCTGGGAGGGGTCTTGGCTCCAGAGGATTGCCAGGGGCAATATAATATAATATATGAGATATAATATAAGGGGTCTTATATTAATTTATTCTTGTGTTTATTGGGGAAGCAGCCCGTGAGCCCCCAGCTCTCGGTCAAGCTCTGGGCTGGGCTGAGACCAGAGAGGTAAAGCACACAGTCCCAGCCCTGGAGTAACTCAGAGCATAGGCCCCACAGTGTGGTAACTGTTGCAGGGGTGGAGCTTAGGGGCCCTGAGAGCACAGTGGCTTCTCCTCTGTTGTATTTGGGGGGCGAGGGGCGGGGGGAGTCAGACAAAGCTGAGTAGGAGTTAGCGGGAGAAGCGGGAGAAGCGAGGTCCGGGCAGCGCCCAGAGGAGAGAGCATGGCGCTCAGAGATGGAGAGGCCTTCCCTCTGGCCAGAGTGGAGAGGGTGTGCAGACGGGCAGGAGAGGAGGCTGGCAGCCGCCGGCGTGAGCGCGTTAGGAAGAAGCTCCCACGGGGCTGTGGGGAACCTTGGAAGACATGTGCACAAGGGAAGGGTGAGATGTGGTGGAGTCAGGTGTCCTGGGCCCCGCAGATCATTGGGCCTACCCTGTGGCCTTTTTACAGATGAGAAGACTGAGGTCAAGAGGGAAGAAGGGCCGTGCAGGAAGCCTGGCTCCCAGGGCAAGGTTCAGGGTTCTTTGTAGAAATCAGGAGATGGGAAGGGTCAAGGTCCCCTGAGCGTCCAGCCACACAGGACACTGGCAGGTCGCAGCCCAAAAGCACAGAGATGAGAGATGAGAAAGGATGATAGGTGTTAACTGTGCGCCAGGTACTGCGTTGATTGCTTAGTGTGCATAATCTTTTCTAATCATCACACAATCTATGAGGCGGTTACTATTATTGGGCCTGATTTATAGATAGAGGACACTGAGGCTCTGAAAGCTGAGGTTACTTGCCACATCACAGAGCCAGGAGGTGTCAGAGCTGAGATTGGGCCCGGGCGGACTGAGCCCAGAGCCGTGCACCTCTTGCTGGAACAAGGGCAGGGGTGAGAAGATAGGGGAGACCCAGGTGCACAAGCGCAGGGGCAGGACGGGGGCTGGGTCCCCTTGGATGCACAGAGAGGCAGGAGGACTTAAGCCTCCGACTGGGGGCAGCAGCTGCTTTCTCAGCTCCTGCTGAGGGGGGGCAGGGGGACAGATGTGGGCATATGGTCCAGCCACCAGCCTTACCTGGGCTCTGGGCTGCCTGAGGCAGGTCCCCAGGGCTTGACCCCAAGTGCTCTCAAGAACCCCTGGCCTCTGGGTCCCCTTCCTGCAGCCTCACAGGTTCTTTCCTGTTCCCACTGGGGAGGGAAGTCCACGCTGAGAGGAATGACAAAGCATGCTTTCACGTGGCCCCAGTTACTCCGCAGCATTTCAGGGAGTCTGCTGGGATGTGCTGGTCCCCACACCAGCGTGAACCGCAAGGGTGACCTGCCAATTCCACATCGCCCAGGGTTTTCTGGTCAGTGTGTAGAGAGAGCAACATCGTGTCTTTGTAGATTATCGCCTTATTCATTAATTCCACCAGCCTTCAGAGAGCACCTGCGTGTGCCATGCCCCGCGCCGTGGTTCAGAAATAGATAAACTTCTGCTCTCATCAAGCTGACGTTCTAGTGGGGGACACGGACAATAAACAAGTGAAGAAGTAAAACATAGCAGGTGATCATAAAGCGGCTGTGCAGAACGAGCTAGAAGCTGGGAGAGAAGGGAAGGGGTTAGGGGTTCAGGCGATTTTAGCTGGGGAGGTCCGGGACCTCTCTGAGGAGGTGACGCTGGAGCAGTGACTCGCATGAATTGAGGGAGCCAGCCCTGTGGCTATCCAGGCAGCAGGAACAGCCAGCGCAAATGCACAGAGGCAGGGATGTGCTTGACCTAACTTTTAAAAAAGTCTCTGTTTTTGAATTATTTCCTCCATGCCACCGCAACTGTTTTTTTTTTTTTAAGACATATGCTGACATTTATTCCCCCATGGATTAAATGTGTCTATGCTTTGTTTATTTTTGTTTTCTTTGTGGCATAGCCAAAATAACATGCAAAAGGTTTAGAGTCAGACTAACCGAAGTGGGTATACGAGCCCTGCCGCTGTGTGGCTTGCAACAAGTCGCTTTCCTTCTCTGAGCATCCTCTCATGGCTATGGCGAGGTGTCTGTCTAATGACCATAAAGCCTCTAGCACATTTCTCCAGACACCCCTCTAACCACCGCCCCTCTTCCCACCCGACCCAATTCCAGCCATACTGGTATTTGGCTGGGTTTCTAGAGCAGCTCAAGCTCTTTCTTGCCTCAGGGCCTTTGCACTGCCTGTGCCCCCCACCTGAAGGCTTATCCCATGAGGAGCATCTCTGATTCATTCAGCTCACTTCCTCAGAGTCCCTTCTGGACACACTTTCTGAAATAGGTGCCCCCTTCCAAAATATTCTCTATTCTAGCATCTTTCTAAAGGGTTGGTGTGACTTTCTAAGGCCAGCCCCAGGCTCCACGCGGTCCCCACCTCTGCTCACCGCTGTGCTCCACCCACAGGTGTACCCGGTTTGCGATGCCCTGGCGGTGCTGGAGCCCTACTCACGGCTGCCCCGCCACGGGCACGTGGCCCGGCCCACCGAGGTCTTGGCGGGCACGCGCCACCTCTACGCCTTTTTTCCACGGCCCCACGGGGACATGCACAGCCTGGTGCGCCGCCGCCGCCGCCTCCCGGAGCCCGAGGCCGCCGCGCTCTTCCGCCAGATGGCGGCCACCGTGGCGCACTGCCACCAGCACGGTCTAGTCCTGAGAGATCTCCAGCTGCGTCGCTTTGTCTTCACCGACCGTGAGAGGTAAGTGTGGCCACAGAGACCTCACCCACAGGCACACCGGAGAGTGGGCCATCATGGGGAAACTGAGGTTCGGGAAGGCGGAGGACCTCATGCAAGTTCTGGGAAAAGGTTGACACTCTCCTATTGGAGCTCCTTGCGGATGGAGGCTTGCCTATGGGGATGAAGAGCAGGGCTACACTGGGCGACATGGCCTGGATCCCTACAAATAGGAGCCGGGCACTTTGTCCCCATGTGGCAGGGGAGGAAACTGAGGCCCAGGGAGGTCAAGTAATGCCCAAGACCCCACAGCTAAACAAAGAGTAGAGCTGGGATTTGACCCCAGATGTGACTCCAGAGCCAAGTCCTAATGCGCTCTGGGAGGCGGGAGGCCGGGGTGGGCTCACTCCTGCTTCCGGGTGCCCGGTGTCTCTGGACCTCAGCTTCCCCATTGGTAGGGGAGAGGGCTGGGTTGTCACAATGTCTCCAGGATTTCAAGGTCACAGACAGCAGCCAAAACAGGCCCTGAGGTTCCCCGCATGGGAACTTTTTCTGTGAAACTGAGAATCAGTGATTTTTGGAACCCGGGGACAGACAGAGACCCTGCGTCCTGTCCCCTCCCTAGACTCCTGGGATGTGCACGATGTGTCGGGGACGCCCCCAGCCACCAGGTCCACATGAACACCCAGCAGGAGCATCGATTTCATTTCAGGACTTTTGAGGACGGGGAGGAAGGCGACCCCATTGCACTTTTTAAAACTTTTTATTTTGAAATACTTTCAGACTTTCAGGAAAGTTGTAAAAATAGTCCAAAGAATTCCTGTATCTCTTTCACCCAGTTTCCCCAAATGTTAACATCCCACATCACCATGGTACAACCATCCACGCTCAGCAGTTAACCTTGATCTAGTACTGCTAATTAAACCCCAGACTGATTCAGCGTTCACTAGTCTCCCACCAAGGTCCTTCTTCTGGCCAGGATCCCATCCGGCCCCCCGCATCCGACGTCCTGTCTCCGGTCCCAGACAGTTCCTCTGTCTCCCCTCGTCTTCCTTGACCTCGATACTTTTGAAGAGGGCCAGTTGCTTAGTTTGTAGAATGCCCTCCACTGGGTGTTGACTGACATTTTTCTCATGGTTAGACTGAGGTTATACATTTTTGGCAACAACACCCCAGAAATGAGAGGCCCTGTTGGTACATCACAGCAGGAGACCCCTGATGTTGACACCTGTTGCTGTGATGTCAACCTGGATGGATGGTGTGGCTGCCAACGTTCTCCACTGTAAGCTTCCTAATTTACCCTTTGTAATTAACAAGTACCTGGGGTAATACCTTGTAATTAACAAGTCCCTCGAGCTACTTTGAAGTTACGCATATAAATCCTCTGGTTATCCTCAGACTTTCGCCCACTGATTTTAACAGCCATCCGTCTTGCCTGGAGCCGTTATTGCTCTCACATTTGCCTAAGGGTGATTTTCTATCTCCTTCTCTTTCCTTCTACATTTTATACCAAAATGAACATGCCTTTAGGAAGAAGTAGAATGTAAAGTTTATAATGATTTTTAAGCTAATCACAACTTCAAATCATTTTGAGCTTAGGGTGAGGATGAAACCCCAGGCCTCCCCGAGGTGAGAGAATGCTTCCTTCTCTTTTCAAGGCAATAGTTTGAGAAACACTGTGGGTAGAAGGACAGTGGGGTCAGACGGACCTGGGTTCAGATCTTGGCTCTACTTGTTACCTACTCTTTGGCCTTGAACAACTGCTTCACCTGCCTGAGCCTTGACTTCTCCATCTGTAAAATGGGCCGAGAATGCTGACACCTGTCCCCAGACACACACGCCTTTGCTGCGATTCACAGGATCGGTCAGTGTTTGGGAAATGCCAGTAGGCACCCAGGAAGTAGGAATAAGATGAATAGCAGTGGGAAGAGGATGTTTCTTATCAAAGTACCCTGGAGGGCTCCAGGGAGTTGTTTATAGCAGAAGCTGCAAATGGGCTACACACCCTTTTTGTTTTGCTCCACATACATGTTCATTTGTTGTTTTTTTTTTTTTTTTTTGAGGAAGATTTGCTCTGAGCTGACTACTGCCAATCCTCCCCTTTTTGCTGAGGAAGACTGGCCCTGAGCTAACATCCATGCCCATCTTCCTCTACTTTATATGTGGGACGCCTGCCACAGCACGGCTTGACAAGCGGTGCCATGTCTGCACCCGGGATCTGAACCAGTGAACCCCGGGCTGCAGAGAAGTGGAACGTGCGCACTTAACTGCTGCGCCACTGGGCCGGTCCCAAGTTCATTTGTTTTTAATTGAAATTGGTTGCCAACATTTCCAACACTGGGACTTTTTCATTAAAATATGATTTCTGGCTTCTCTTGGGAAAAAATGGGACCATGGAGCCAGCTCGGGGACCAGGTGAGGGGCTCACAGGGCTGGCTCTGAGCAGGTGAGAGCCAGGGTTCCTGTCCCGTCCCCGCGCCCTGTGGCTGTAGCATGGCTACATGGCTGTAGCCTTCCCCCAGGTTGTGGGAGGGTGGGATGACATGTGTCAGGTAGCGGACCTCACTCGGGTCAGGTACACAGTGGACGGACGCTCCACGAAGGCTGACGGGAATGTTGTCAGTGGTGCCTTGTCAGGCAGGGTTTGTGCTGCGATGTTTGGCACAGTCTCCACTTCCTACTTCTCTTGTTTTATTACCTGCCTGCAGTGTAAGTTCTCATCTGCTTTAAGAGAGGCTTCATGCCCTCAGCGCCCTCGGCCCTCTCCTTGAGGGACTGCTGGGAAATGTGTTCCTCCCAGAGGCCAAGTTCAAATTCAGTGCCTCTGTGACCTTGAGAAATCACTTACCCTCTCTGAGCCTGGGCTTCCTCATCTGTAAAACAGGATCAATCGCCCAGCCTCACAGGACTGGCTCATGTTTGCCCAGTGCGAGCAGGCCCTCGGGAAGTGGGTGCCATTCAGAGGTACAGTGTGGGGTGGTGGCAGGGGTGGTCCTCCTGGAGCTGACCCCTCTGTCTCTCTCCCACCACAGGACGAAGCTGGTGCTGGAGAACCTGGAGGACGCCTGTGTGCTGAGCGGGCCAGACGACTCCTTGTGCGACAAGCACGCGTGCCCGGCTTATGTGGGACCGGAGATCCTCAGCTCGCGGCCATCCTACTCGGGCAAGGCGGCAGATGTCTGGAGCCTGGGTGTGGTGCTCTTCACCATGCTGGCCGGCCACTACCCCTTCCAGGACTCAGAGCCCATCCTGCTCTTTGGCAAGATCCGCCGCGGGGTCTTTGTCCTGCCTGCGGGCCTCTCAGCCCCGGCCCGCTGCCTGATCCGCTGCCTCCTTCGACGGGAGCCAGCCGAGCGGCTCACAGCTGCGGGCATCCTGCTGCACCCCTGGCTGCGGGAGAACCCGACGCCCTCGGTCCCATCCGGATCCCACCTCTGGAGGACTGACCAGGTGGTCCCCAGTGGACCGGGGCTGGAGGAGGGAGAAAGGGAAGCGGGTCTGTATGGTTAGTGCTACCCGACGAGACTCTGAGCTGCACACAGTGGCTTGAGTGTGGGGCGTCTCCAAGCTCTCTCCTGCCGCTTTGAACTGAGCCAAACCTTAAGTGCCTTCTAGGAGGGAGAAAGGAGGAGGCATGTGCAGAGTGTGCACACGCGCTTGTGCATTCAGCAAGTCCTTCTTGGGAGCTCGCTGAGGGCCAGGCCCTGTTTTGGGGGCTGGGAACACAGCTGTGAATACAAGAGACGAAACTCCTGCTCACAGAGCTGACAGCACTTTTCCATGCCCACAGGGCAGTGTCCACCCTGGGCACACTTAGTGCAGGTGTCCACATCCACTCGTGCTGGCGCCCAGGCACCTCTGTCATGGGACGGTCCCTTTTGCAAACAAACCAGCTGCCTTTGTATCTTGCACCTTTCAGAGAAAGGGAAGCATCTCTGTGCCAAAGGCTCCAGGCCTCTCCCCTGCCACTTAGGGCTCCAGAGCCCAGGTCGTGCTGGGAGTGGTGCCCCCAGCAGCTCTGGTCGCTTGGCCAAAGGATTCTCCATCCAGGCCTTAGCCAAGGATTTGAGCTGGAAGATCAAGAGTGTAAACTGAGGCTGTTCCTCACCTAACTCTAGGAATGGTCTGGAATGAGGAGCCAGACCTGTCTACTTCTGTGAGCCCTGACCTGAGCACCAGAGTTGGGCAACAGGATTAGGCAGTGTGCCCCCTGGTCTCCCGGAAAGTCCCAAGCCCTGTTCTGGGGATCCTTGGGGTGCAGGACCCCACATCGTTACTACGGGTTTTTGATGCCATGAATCTATATTTCTACCTTGTGTCTAATAAAGGAGTTGTGAAATACTTTTATTCCTCCTGGACAGTTCTGTCCTCTCCTCCCCATCTCTTAGCAGTTTTCCTGCCTCCGAGACCAGCCCCAGTGAAAGGCAGGAGGCCTGTGTGCCAGCCTCAGCTGAGTGGTCGTGAGAACAGAAGCCCCAGCAGCTCCTCCCACACTCTCGCTGCTCCTTCTGGAAGCAGTGGTGTCTCAGGGTACTTTTTGGCTGCAAGTGACTGAAACTCCAAGTCAAAGTGGCTTGAAAAAGAAAGAAATGTATTGCACACAAAGCAAGAAGTCAGCAGGTGGGGTGGGTTCCAGGGCTCACCGATTCAGCTCTCAGAGCTGTTAGCAAGGACCCAGGCTCCCTGCGCTCATCCTGTCTCTCTGCTCTGTTGTCCCAGGTGACTGCTGGTGCAATGGCCACAGCAGTCCCCGGTGTCACATTAGAGAGATCGAGGACCAGAGGAAGAAGGAGGGTGGCGTTGTGCTGCTCAAGAACTCGGGACTCTGGAGTCAGGCTGCCTGGAATTGGATCCTGGCTCCAGCACTCGCTAGATGTTTGACGTTTGGCAAGTTTCTTAACCACTCCATGCCTCAGATTCTTCCTCTGTAAAATGAGGGATAATAGTACCTAACTCGTGAGAATTCAATGAGTTATTTTATGTAAAGCACTTAGAATAAATGCCTGGCATCAGAAGCCCTTAGTAAGAGTTAGTTATTGTTCTGGTCCCCATAGCTCTTTCTTGGGATGAGGAGAGCTTTCCTGGAAGCACTCCTAACTTCCTATTGGCCAGAACTGGGTCACGTGCCCTTTCTTGCCCAATCGCCACTGAGGGAAATGCAGTGGCTAATTAATCATGCCCATCCTCCAGCTGTAGGTGGGGGCAGCCTCCCTGAGGCTCATGTCACCTGTGTCAGGAGGGGGGAGTGACACTTGAACAAAATCAGATTCAGAGAGGGAGGAGAGAGTGGGAGAAAGCACGAGGAGGAGAACTGAGATGCTCCGGTCAGTGGCCTGCCAACTGCAGACATGTGAGAGAGGCCATCCCAGATCATCCAGGCACCAGGCGGCCCTCCAGCTGACGGCAAACGCAGAGGTCAGTCAGGCTGGCCCAGACCAGAAGAACCGCCCCACTGACCCACAGAAGGATGAGCTCAATAAAATGATTGTTGTTTTAAGGCACTAAGTTTTGGGGTGTTTTGTTATGCAGCAAACGCTAACTGACATAGACAGGAACTAGTCAGCCTCATCGCTATGCACCCAGCATTGCCTGAAACAGGGCCCAGCTGTGTGTAGGGTCACATGGGGCAGCCCCCAACCTTTCTCCTTCCTCCTTCCAGCTTCCAACAGACCCTGCCCCAGCTCCCTCACAAGCTAGGTCCTTCCCGGCACCTGTAGACCAAGGGAAGCAAACTCATAGAAGATAGGGGCTGCCAAGCGGCATGAACTGTGCCCACCCTGGACCTACATTACACAGAGACTCACTTACTCCTCACAGCAACCCTATGAGGTAGACGCTCTTGTCCTCTTACAGACAAGAGCAATGAAGTTCGGGGAGAGGAGAAGACTCACCCAAGACCACCAACAGAGAAAATGACTCACCTGGTTTTGCCTTGAAGCAGGAACTCTTGACAAGCCACTTGGATGCAGCCACGTGAAAACTGCCACGTCAAAATGCAAAATCCACTCTCGCCCAGCCGTGCAGGTAGCCACACACCTGACTGCAACTGGTGGGGACTTTCCTGTTCTATTTATGTTCATTCAGTGACCATTGTAGGGAAGTTTCACAATGTCAAGTGTAATACGTACATATTACCAGAGGGAGGGACCGTTAGAGATTTAAGTGGGGATTTTCTCTGCAACTGGGAGCTAAACACAAAAGCTCGCATCGTGGCTGGCCCGATGACTCCTTCACTTAGCAACTGGGCAACTATACTGAATGCCGACTGTAGGCCAGGCACCGTGCAAGAGGGACACAGATGCGGTCCCTGCCCCCAAGGACTCAGTCTAACAGAGGAGACAGGTTAAACAGATAACCACACAAATTAAGACGTTACTTACACCTTGTGGCAAAGGTGGGCATCACCAAATATGTCACGTGCTCCCCCATGTGCCCTGGCCTCCCTTACAGTCACATGACTAGCTCCAAGCAATGGTGTGTGCAAAGAAGTGACAAATACGGCAGTCACTTCCAGGCTGAAGCAATTGAGAGTGGGTGGGCCTCCATCCCTGTCTCTCCCTTCCACGACCACCTTGAGGCCAGGCCTTCCCTCAGCTACAAGACAGAGGAGGGCCACCAGCCCCATACTGGATTTTCCTAAGCAAGAAATGCAGCTTCGTGTGCTAAGTCTGCAGTTTGGAGTTAATCTGTCGGACAGGTAGTGTTAATTACCATGACGAAGGGAAATTTGCCAGGAAAATTCTCTCTCCTAGTAACTAGGCTGGATCAGCCTTGGCCGCAGTACAAACCCCAGCGCTCAGCAGTTCACGATTCACTGGTCAGCAGTTCAGGCTGAGCTCAGCCGGGTCCCTCGGGCGGTTGCAGGCAGTGGCTGCCTGGGAGGGGCTGCTGCAGCCCCGCTTCTAGTAGGCAGGCCCTCGGACCCCCGGCTGCCATGGCTCAGCTCTGCTCCGCTCCATGTGGCCTCAGCTTCCAACAGGCTCAGCGCCAACTCCGCGGGGTGGTCTTGGCGTTTCAAAAAGCAACAAGAGAGGACAGATCCCAACGTGCAAGCTGTGTTTGGACCACATCAGCAAACGTCCCTTCAACCAAAGCGTGTCACTAAGCCAGATTCAGGGGGTGGTGAAATAAATGCTCCCTCTTGATGGGAGGAGCTGAAAATAATTTGTGGCCTTTTTTTCTTCAATAGACGACATGAGATACACTTGATCTAATAAGTTGACCAGTGTGTCCCTAAAACCCACCCTGCAGGTCAGGCTGTGCGCTACCCCCCTCACCCCCGCAAATGGCTTGGTGTCTGGGGCCTCAGCCTGTTCCCCTCCTCTCCGTGTGGCTAAGCCCTGCCCATCACTTGAGGCTGGACCTGGAGCCTCTTCTGACCCTTGTCAGAGCAGGGGCTCTCAGCTGCGTTTGCTCATCCCTGCATCAGTCCCCTGCATCAGTCCCCTGGGGTGTGCATTTAAGACTCAGATCCCCGGCCTCTTCCCACACCTAGTGAGTCACAACCTTCTGCACCTTAACGAGCTCCCTGGATGCTGCTGCTGAGCATCCGACTTGGAGAACCTCTGTATTTGGAGAAATCCTGACTCCTTGGGGCCTCAGAGCTCATTTCAGCTCTTCTCTGGGCCTGTTCAACCCCAGCTCAGGTGTAAATGGGTATAACTTCTACCTGCCTGGGGTGCTAGGATGGGCTCACAGGTGTGAGAGGGCTTTATCCGAGGTCAGAATCTGCGCCACCACGACATTTGTACCAGCTTCCTGGGGAAAGACATGCAGCCCCCCTCCTTCATCACCCTCTCTCCCCTTACCCGGCTTTGTGGTTCTTTACAGCACGCAGCACCGCCTGGCAGGACGTTCTGGATCTGTTTGTGTATGTGAGTTTCCTAAGGCCAGGGACTATGTTTTGTTTACAACTGTCTCCCCAGCTCCCAGAACAGTGCCTAGCACACAGAGAACCCCAGTATTTGTTGAATGACTGAATGACAGTGGTTGCTATGCAGATCCTGCAGGTCGAGGGCAGAGCCGGGACACTCGCTAAGGTTAATGTTTACTGAGCACAGACTACGCGCCAGGCACGGCCCCAAGAGCTTCACACGCATTATCTCATTTGACACATGATAGGCAGCCTCTAAGATGGCCCTCCATGATCCTCAGCGCCTGGTATCCATGCCCTGGCGTAGTTCCCTCCCGCTCTGAGCTGTGCCGACCAGTGTCACTAATTAGGATATCATGAAAATGATGCAGTATGACCTTTAAGGCTAAGTCAAAATATATTATAGTTCCTGCCTTGCTCTCCTGGATTATGTGCTTCGGGGAATGCCAGCTGCCATGTCACTAGGACGCTCAAGCAGCCCTCTGGAGAGGTACAGGGGGCGAGGAGATGGGCATCCCACAACAAACCACCACCAGCCAGGCATACGAGGAGGGTTTCATGAAAGTCTATCCTCCAGCCCCAGTCAAGCCTTCAGATGACTGACATCCCAGGCAACATCTTAACCGCAGCTCATGAGAGACCTTGAGCCAGAGCCACCTAAGACACTGTTCCTGAATTCCTAACCCACAGAAACTCTGTGAGATCTAGATGTTGATTATTGTTTAAGCTGCTAAGTTTTGGGGCAATCTGTTACGTATCAATAACCAATAGCTGGTAGAGATGCTCACAACAGTCCTATGAGGGAGGGACCATCATGATCACCATTGTACAGAGGGGGAAACTGAGGCCCAGAGAGGGGGAATCTCTTGTCCAGGGTCACACAGAGAGCAAACGGTGGGACTGAACACAGGTTTGAATGACTACAGAGTCTACCCACTGGGATGAAGGATGTCCAAAGTGAATGACAGCTCTGCCCTCGAAGGGCCAAGGCTAAGATTAGAACACTTGGAAGAATATATCTGCCCCAAGTACAGACTTGTGCGGGTGACCTCAGGGCTGAAGGGAACACGACCATCGTGAACCGGCAGGGTCAGCAGGAGAAAGCAAGGCAACAGGAGTGAGAACCAGCAGAAAGAGACACCCAGAGTTCAGATAGTGGTATCATCCAACACAGATTATGAAACAGAAATGTTTACTGTGCTTAAATAAATAAATACCAACCTGAAACTATGGCCGAAGTATAGGAAATTATATCACGTGACAAAACTGATTTGGACACTCAGTAGAACTTCTAAAATGAAAAATATCATAACTAAAATAAAAGATTCAAAAGATTTAGATTAGATGCGGCTAAAGAGGGAATTAGTGAGAGAGAGGTCCGACATCAATCACAGATCCAAGAGACTCCATACATTTTCAGACATAGACACATCCTGGTAAAAACGCAAAAGACAAAGACAATGAAAAAAATCTTAAAAAGCACTCAGAGGAAAAAAATCAGAGAGATTACTTTCGAAAGAACAGTGGTGTAACATGGATGAACCTCAAAAACATTATGCTAAGTGAAAGAAGCCAGTCACAAAGGACCACATATTGAAATAATATAAAATGTCCAGAACAGGAAAATCTGTCGAGACTGAAAGTAGATTAGCGCTGGGGTCACGGAGGGTGGGAGATGGGGAGTGTCTGCTAACAGGTCCAGCGTTTCTTTAGGGGTGATAAAAATGTTCCAGAATTAGATTGTGGTCATGGCTGCTCAACTCTGCAAGTGTCCTAAAAACCATTAAACTGCACACTTTAAGTGGGAGGATCTTACGGTATACAAATTTTCTCTCAGTAAAGCTGCTGAAAGGGAGAACAGGAGTTTGACTGACAGACAATGTCTTGACTGCAAGCATGGAAGCTGGAAGGCAAGGAACGCCATCTTCAAAGGGCCGAAATGCAGGCTGGAATTCTATACCCAGCAAAAATGGATATCAACAATGAGGCCTCAATAAAGCCTTTTCAAACAAAAACCGAGAAAGTTTGTCACCAGAAGTCTCTCCCCGTGGGGAGTTCTAAAATAGCCGTTCTTAAACTTGGCTTCTCATTACAAACACCAGAAAGCGTTAAAAACTCCTGACACCTGGTCCCACCCCCAGAGACGCTCGATCAATTGGTCTGAGAGTGGCTCGGGCACCAGGATTTTTAAAACCCCCCCCAGGCAATTCAAATGTACAGGCCAGGCTGAGAACCTCTGTCTTAAGCGATGCCTTTCAGGCTAAAAGCAAGTGAGGGCAGATGAAAATCTGAGATTTCTTCACTCATTTAACACACAATCCTTGACCACCTGCTATGGGTTAGGAACTGCTGTCGACACCAGAACACAGTGGTGAGCAAAACAGACAAGTCCCTGCCTCTGGAAGAGGGAAACAGACAAACAACAAACACAAAAACAAGATAAGTAAGTAAAATGTGCTGTTGGATAATAATATATGCTTTGGAGAAAACATGAAGTCAGGGGGCCAACTGGTGGCGCAGCTCCACGACCCGCTTCGGCAGCCGGGGTTCACCAGCCAGAATCCCGGGTGTGAAGCTATGCACCGCTTGTCCAGCCATGCTGTGGCAGGCGTCCCACATAAAGTAGAGGGAGATGGGCACAGACGTTAGCTCAGGGCCAGTCTTCCTCAGCAAAAGGAGGAGGATAGGCAGCAGATGTTAGCTCAGGGCTAATCTTCCTCAAAAAAAAAAAAAAAAAACCAAAAAAACATGAAGTCAGGAAGTTGGATACGAAATGCTGGATAGATGTGTGTGCGTGAAATTCCAGATCGGATGGCCAGGGAAGATTTTTGAGTAAAGACCAAAATAAAGGGAGAGAGCAAGCCATGAAGATATTTGATGACAAGTGTAAAGGCCCCAAAGCAGGAGTTTGTTTGCCTTGTTCCAGGACCCAGGAGGCCTGCGGGGCTTGAGGGGAGCCAGCTAAGGAGAGAGTAGTCAGAGAGGCAGATGAGGCAGTCGGCAGGCCTTGGGGAGGACCTCGGCTTTGAATGCGATGGGAGCTTTTGGGGGTGTTTTGAGTGGGGGAGTAACATGGTTTGATTTACGGTCTAACAGGACCCTGCGGCAGCTGGGTGGAAAGTGGACTCTAGGGGCCAAAAGGAGAAGCAAGGAGCCCAATGCGGAGGCTGTGCAGGACACCAGAGCAGAAATGGAGGAGGAGCGGGATGCGGCGTGGAGGAGACGAGAGGGGACAGATGCTGGATCTGTTCTGCAGGGGGTGCCTACAGGACCTGCTCATCTCCAGGATGAGGGCGGGAGAAAAATGAAGGCAGGGGGAGCCTGGCGGAGGCGAAGAGCTTCCAGCCTGTGCCGGGCAGGGGGACAGTGACGCCGAGGGGTAGCGCCGGCTGGCTAAGGGCGGTTCCTGAGCCCGCCAGGCCTGGATGCAAACCCGGATTGCTTGGCCTCGGGTAGCACAGAAACACAGCCTCCGTTTCCTCTTCTGCGAAGAGCCGGCCCGCCCACCCGCGTGGCGGCGGCCCAAGCCCCGCCCCGCCCCCGCCCCCGCCCCTCCCCCTGCGCCGCGCTGCAGCCGCGGCCCGGCGGGTGAGTGCGGCCCGGAGGGGGTCACTCCCGGGGGTCACCCGGGACCCCGGGCCCGGAGGCGGGGCGGGGGCGGCAGGGACTGCCTGGGGTCTGCCGCCTCCGGGCGGGGGTCTGGACCCCGCGACATCCTCCGCCCCACTTCCGGGGCCGCCACTTTCACTTTCTCTTCCGCCGGCGCCGCTCTCCTGCCCGCCCCCCGACGGCCGGGCCCAGCGAGCGGGGAGCTGAGCTGGGATCCCCGGCGCCGGGGCGCCCCGGGCTCTCCTCCTCCCGGCCAGGCCTGTCCTGTTCCCTCTGTGGCGCGTTGCGGGCTTGCTCGGTCCCGCTGCCCTCGCACCTCCCACGCGGCGTCCCGGCCCGTGCCCCAGCCCAGGCCCGATCCCCGGTCCCCGGGTGGTGGGATGCTGCCCGACTGCCGCCGGGGACGCCGAGGTGCAGGGAGGGCTGAGTTGCTCCTGGTCGCCCGCCCTCTCCCAGGTGACCGGCGGTAGCATTTCCCCGGAGCTGCAGCCCCGCCTGGGGGGATGGGCGCAGCCGCGCCAGATGGACGAGAAGACCAAGAAAGGTGGGCACGTCCTGGTGGCGACTGGAAACTTCGGTGGGGAGGTGGGCCCGGGCAGGACCCGGCCTCCCCTGCCCAGCAGGGCCTGGGAAAGGGGCCTTTGATCTTGTCCTCCCGCTGCCCACTTGCCCCTCACTTTCCTCCCTTGGGGCCTGGTCGCTTCCACAGACATCTTGTCCTTCATTTATTTGAGACCCCTGAGGCCTTCGGTGCTGAGATGGGGTGGGGGACGCCCAGAGGAAACAGGGCAGTTGAACTTGGAGACCTCCCAGGCCGGTGGGGGTGACAGACCTCAGCTGACCTGCATACCGGGGTCATTGCCTCCCCTCTTGCCTCGCCTACGCAGCACTGCAGAACACAGGTCAGGTCATGTGCCACCCGCCGCAGACCCTCCTGTGCCCATAAGTTCTTAGATCAAAGCCGGGAGCCCTTGGCTAGCACCCAGGCCCTGGGCTTCCGGCCTCACGGTCTCGCCCCTGTTAGCCCCCCCACGCCCTCTGCCTGAGCCCCTCTGGCTTCTTTCTGTTCTCATCCAACAAGTTCTTGCCCAAGGCCTTCCCCTTGCTCTTCCCTCCGCCTGGAACACTCTTCCCCACCTGGGTCCTGACCTGTCCAGCTGCTCCTTCAGGTCTCAGCTTCAGTGTCACCTCCTTCTCCGGGCCTTCCCTGATCTCCTTATCCTGGCCGGCATGGATCACAATCTGAATTTTTTTCTCTCTTGTTAAGTTTGTTAATTATCTGTCTCCTAAATCAGCTGGGAGGTCCATGAGGAAAGGGACCCTGTTTATCTTATTCACTGCCAAATCCTAGTTTCTGGGACAGTGGCTGGCACACAGTAGGAGCTTAATAAATGCTTGTTAGATAAATGAATGGAAGTATGGAGGACCCTGGGAGTGGGAAGGGAAAATGAGCCCCAGGGGGTGTGGAATATCAGAGAAGGCCTCCCAGAGAAAGGGACTTTTAAGCTGGGTGCTGAAGGATATGTAGGAGTTCACCAGGAAGACGGAGAGGAAGCAGCATGTAAAATGGGTCACCTTGTCCCTCACCTCCTAACCCTGTGCTAACCTGCTTCCACTGTGCTGGATTTCAGCCGAGGAGATGGCCCTGAGACTCGCCCGGGCAGTTGCGGGCGGGGATGAACAGGTGGCTATGCAGTGTGCCACCTGGCTGGCAGAGGAACGGGTGCCCCTGATTGTGCAGCTGAAGCCTGAAGTCTCCCCAACACAGGACATCAGGTGAGGAGTGCATGGCTGGCCAGAGACTTAGGGCTTCCTGAACTCCAGTGGGCTGCAATGTATTCTTGCCTATAGAACAGTTATTCTTTTTTTCTTTTCTTTTTTTTTTTTTTTGGTGAGGAAGATTGGCCCTGAGCTAACATCTGTTGCCACTATGCCACTGGGCTGGCCCTGGAACAGTTACTCTTAATGACAGGTTCTGGTGTCAGGAGACTTAGCTTTTAAAGCCCAGCTCTGTCACTAATTAACTGTGACATCTAGGGCACGTCACTTCACCTCTCAAGTTTCCGTTGTTTTCCTTTTAAAAATGGGGCAATAATAGCAGCTACCTATCTCCTAGGATTGTTAGGAGGTATATTAGGATGTTAGGCCTCATACAACAGAAAAAAACATGACAACAGTGGCATAAACAAGTTTGATGGCAGGCAGTCCAGATGTGGGGCTCTGCTCCCTGTAGTCCTCAGAGACTCATGCTTCCTCTGTCTTGTTATTCTGCTATTCAAGGCTTCCATTCTGAGGTTCACCTCATGGTCCAAAATGGCTGTTCCCGCTCCAGCCATCATATCCCCATTCTTGTCAGCAGGAAGGAGGAAGGGAAGAAGGGCACCCCCTCCCATACTCCCCTTAAGAGCACAGCTCAAAAAGTTGCACACACTTCTTCCACTTAATTCCTGTGGACCAGAACTTACTCTCACAGCCACACTCAGCCTGAAGGGAGGCTGCGAAATACAGCCAGGAATCCAGATAGAATTCCGGAGGATGGAGAGTGGATACTGTTAGTCCTTGCCCAGGAGAGTAAACTGGATGCTGAACACAGCCCAGTGCCCGGGTCATGTTAGTCACTCAGTGAACATGAGTATTTATCTTTTGTTCCCCTGCTTCTTTCCTGCTGCATGGTAAGACAATAGTCGTAGAGTTTCTGATTTTCAGTTATCCTGGTAGCCCCCATTTGATTTTTTTTACCAGCTTTATGGAGATATAATTGACAGGCCATACAGTTCAACAATTTAAAGTGTAGTCTTTAATTTAACTGTAATTTAAAGTGTAGCCTTTGGTACAGTCAGAGCTGTGCACCCGTCACCACAGTCAAATTTAGATCATTTTCATCACCCCATAAAGAAAGCCTGAACCCGTTAGCAGTCACGTCTCATGTCCCTACCTTTCCCCAACCCCCCACCTTAGGCAGCAACTAATTTACTTTCTGTCTCTAGGGATTTGCCTAATCTGGGAATTTCATGCGAATGGAATCATACAATAGGTGGCCTTTTGTGTCTGGCTTCTTCCACTGAGCATCATGTTTTCTAGATTCATCCATGTTGCAGCCTGTATCAGAACTTCTTTCCTTTTTATTGCCAAATAATCCATTGTATGGATATACACATTTTCTTTTTTCTTTCTCTTTTTTTTTTTTTTTGAGGAAGATTAGCCCTGAGCTAATAGCTGCTGCCAATCCTCCTCTTTTTTGCCGAGGAAGACTGGCCCTGAGCTAACATCCGTGTCCATCTTCCTCCACTTTATAAGTGGGACACCTGCCACAGCATGGCTTGATGAGTGGTGTCTTGGTCCACACCCAGGATCCGAACTGGTGAACACCGGGCCACCAAAGCAAAACGTGCGAACTTAACCACTATGCCACCAGGCCAGCCCATGTTTTCTTTATCTTTTAGTCAGCTGATGGACATTTGGGTTGTTTGTCCTTTTTGGTTAATATGAATAATGCTGTTATGAACATTTGTGTCTGAGTTTTTGTACGGACATGTCTTTTTTTCCAGTTTTATTGAGATATAATTAACATATAACGTTGTATTAGTTTCGAGAGTACAACAGAATGATTTGATGTGTGTATGCATTTTGAAATGATTACCACAGTAAGTTTAGTTGACATCTCTTGCCTCACATGGTTACAGATTTTTCCTTGGGATAAGAACTTTTGAGATCTGCTCTTTTAGCAACTTTCAGATATACAGTACAGCATTGTTAACTGTGTCACTGTGCTGTACGTCGCATCCCCAGAACTTATTTCTCTTATAACTGGAAGTTTGTACCTGTTGACCACCTTCACCCATTTTCCCCACTCCCTTGCTCCCCACTTCTGGCAACCACCAATCTGTTCTGTTTCTCTGGATTTGGCTTTTTTAGATTCCACATACAAGTGGGATCATACGGTATTTGTCTTTGTCTGTCTGACTTCTTTCACTCAGCATAACACCCTCCAGGCCCATCTGTGTTGTTGCAAATGGCAGGATTTCCTTCTTTTTTGTGGTTGAATAATATTCCATTATAGATTTCATTTCTCATTCTGTGGGTTGTCTTTTTACTTTATTGATGGTGTCATTTGAAGCACAAAAGTGTTTAATTTTGATGAAGTCCAGTTGATCTGTATTTTCTTTTGTTGCCTGTGCTTTTGGTGTCATATCTAAGAAACCACTGCTTCATCCAAGGTCATGAAGATTTATCCCTGCGTTTTCTTCTAAGAGTTCTGTAGCTTTAGCTCTTACATTCAGGTCTTTGGTCCATTTTGAGTTATTTTTTGTATATGGTGTGAGGTAGGGGTCCAGCTTCATTCTTTTGCATGTTGGTATCTAGTTGTCAGCACCATTTGTTGAAAAGGCTATTCTTTCCCCGTTTAATCATCTTGGGACCTTTGTTGAAAATTAATTGACCATAAATAGGAAGTTTATTTCTGGACTCTAATTTCTACCCCATTTATGTATAAGTCTGTCCTGATACTGGTACCACACAATTTTGATTACTGTAGCTTTGTAGTAAGTTTTGAAATCAGGAAATGTGAGTCCTGCAGCTTTCTTTTTTAAGATTGTTTTGCCTCTTCTGGGTCCCTTGAAGCTCTGGTTGAATTTTAGTATCAGCTGGTCAATTTCTACAAAAAAAAGTCATTTGGGATTTTGATAGGGATTGTGTTGAACCTGTAGATCGATTGGCCATTTGATTTTAAATAAAATACTTACATATCCACTTCTTGATATATTGACTTGAGACAGTACCTGTGCTGTCTCTTTGTTGTGAAAAATGAGGAATTTAAGGTACTCATCTCCCACCTCTCTTCTTCCTGACTTCCTGGTTTTAACTGAGGTGTTAGAGGAGAAGCTGTCCAGGTTGACTCCACTTGATCCCCAGAATTAAATAGCGCTGTAGTTTCTGCTGTGTGTAAAACATACAGCAGACAGCTTGTTTATAGCAGCTGTATTTGTTAATGTCATAACATAATTTAATGAGCTGTTAGATCAATCGATGAAACAGGAGTTCGAAAAGAGAATGTTTCTATGAAAACTAAGTTGATTGCTTTAGAAAGACAAATAGAAACGAGTCACCAAAAAGAATTATCACTTTAGGGTGAGATGGTTCTAAAAATATGGTAAAAATCCAGAAGGGTTCTGTACTCAGATGCTTTGCGAGTGTCTGAGTCCTTGCTCCACCCTAAAGAAGATGATTCTGGAAATCATAGACCGTGTATTATGGATATGACTCATACAAAAAAAAATACGGAAACTCCGGTCGCAGATTCACACTCAAAGAAAAGCCATTGGCCCTCCACCTAGAGCTCAGCCAGTGAGTGTGCACTTGTGACTTCTCAGTTAAATTTAAGCGTCCCAGGTTCGCAGCTGTTTTCGCAGTTCTCTGCTTGCGTGAGTTTCCTGATTAACTGAACACCGCTGATCCTGCTGACATTGGATACGTGGGCTCCAGCTGTATTTTCTTGTTGTTAAGGTTAGAGCTTTTAGGTTTCATTTTCTAACTATAATTAAGGCTTCTATTTTTGCCTCTAGGTCGATTCTAAAAACATAAACCCACTAAAATAGCATTTCTAGTATTTTGATCGTGGAAATGCTCTTCGCCGCAGAATCGGTGTGGGGAGTCACTGGTGTTCCCCAACCCCTGTGGCTGGGAGGAGGATGTTTTGAAGGTTGTGATCTAGTCCTTGGTTTAATTTCTTTTTGGTTTTCTTCCATCCTCCTGCCTCAGACTCAGCTAGTCTTGTTTCTTGTCTTTCAAAAACTTTTCCTAAGGAAAAATAGATGGTGGATTTGTACGAGAGTCTTCACGTGTCTAAACATTTCTGTATTTTGTCCTCTCGCTTCATTGATAGTTGGCTGGGCGTTGAAAATCATTATTCTGAGGAATCGTGAAGGTATTTTCCAGAGTATCTTAAAGCAAATCTCAGATATTATTTCATTCATAAATACTTTGACATGATTTCTAAAAAATATGGACTTAAAATAACCTCCATACCATTATCACACCTAAAACATTAACATTAATTCTTTAATATCCCCTAATATTGTTTATATTCAGAGTTCCCTAATTATCTTGTTAATGCTTTTTTTTTTTTAAGATTGGCACCTGAGCTGAGGTCTGTTGCCAATCTTTTGGGGTTTTTTTTCCTCTTTTTCCCCAAAGCCCCCCAGTACATAGCTGTGTATTCTAGTTGTGGGTCCTTCTGGCTCTGCTATGTGGCACGCTGCCTCAGCATGGCTTGATGAGTGGTGCTAGGTCTGTGCCCAGAATCTGAACCAGCAAAACCCTAGGTCCCTGAAACGGAGTGCATGAACTTAACCTCTCGGCCATGGGGCCGGCTCCTCGTTAATGCTTTTGATAGTTGGTTTGTTCCAATCAGGAGCCAAATGAGGTCTACACATAGCTTTTCTTAATGTTGTCTAAGTCTCCTTTATTCTCCTTCTCTATTTTTTTTTTTTTTTGGTGAGAAAGATTAGCCCTGAGCTAATGTCCATTGCCAATCTTCCTCTTTTTGCTTGAGGAAGATTGGCCTTGAGGCAACATCTGTTGCAAATCTTCTTCTTTTTGCTTGAGGAAGATTGTCCCTAAGCTAACATCTGTGCCAGTCTTCATCTATTTTGTATGTGGGACGCCACCACAGCATGGCTTGATGAGCAGTGTGTAGGTCTGCACCCAGGATCTGAGTCCCAGGCCACTGAAGCAGAGTACACAAACTTAACCACTATGCCACCAGCTGGCCCCTCTCCTCTCTTTTTATGTCCTTAATTTTTTTAAGAAACCTGGTCTTTCACCTCCAGAATTTTCCCACCTTCTGGATTTCTTAATTGCCTCCTCATGGTGTCATTTACTCTCTCTCACTTTCCTCGTGAACTAAAGGTTAGGTTAGTCAGTAGTCACTTTTAAATGTCCAGGAGCTGTTCCTCATTTTCTGGTTGCTTCTCGCTGGTCTTGCCTACTGGATGCAGTGTTTTCCCAGATCTCTCTGACGGTGCCGAGTAGACTTCACTGTAACTGATCTGCACCCCACTTTATCTCTGTTTCCTCTGGGATCACTTGTGTTTTTTCATCTTTGCCCTTCCTTTTCATTGTTTGGTCTTCCGAAAACATTTGAGGATCCTTGAGAAGGTTGGTGTTGAAATCCACTTTCTCTGGAATCACACCGTTCAGATTGCACTCCTGCCTCTAACGATTAGTGCTTATTTGGCAGAGTCATGGGACTGTCTGTGCCTCATGTTTGTATCTGTAAAATGAGGATGATAACAGTACCTGCCTCGTGGGTTTGTTGAGAGGATTGGGTGAGTTAATACGTGTTAGGTGCTTCGAAGGGCCCTGGCGTAGAGTAAGTAGTAACTGCCGGTGGTTTGGCTAGGGAGCAAGGGAGAGGAGGATAGAAGAGGCTGGCGGGGAGGGGCCGGATCAGGAGGCCCTTGTATGCCTCAGTGAGTGTGCATTTTATGCTCAGAGCAGGGTGGAGCCGCTGGAGGGGCTTAAGCAGTGGCTCCTGATCAAGGAGGAAGCCCAGGGGTGTGGGAATCCAGGAGAGGCCCCAAACCCAGTTGGGGGGTCGTGTGTGTGCACACACGTGCAGGTGCATGCACAGGTGTGCAAAGATGTCCCTGCCTATAGCTGGTGGCTGAGGTCGGACCTGCGGCCAGAGCCCTTGCCCCACCCCCGCTCCTCTCCGCAGGCTGTGGGTGAGCGTGGAGGATGCTCAGATGCACGTGGACACCATCTGGCTCACGGTGCGCGCTGACATGACCGTGGCTTCCCTCAAGGACATGGTGAGTAAAAGGGCTAGAGGGAGACCCGGGGGCGGGCGCTTCTCATTTGCTCCGCCTCTGTCTACCCTGGTGTCCCTTTGTCCCTTCCCGCTCTCCGTCTCTTGGGGACCCCTCAGGTCTTCCTGGACTACGGCTTCCCGCCCACCCTGCAGCAGTGGGTGATTGGGCAGCGGCTGGCCCGGGACCAGGAGACCCTGCACTCCCATGGGGTGCGGCGGAGCGGGGACAGCGCCTACCTCTACCTGCTGTCGGCCCGCAACACCTCGCTCAACCCGCAGGAGCTGCAGCGCGAGCGGCAATTGCGCATGCTGGAGGGTGAGGCTCTGCTCCTGGGCCGCGC